TCCGGAACGCTTATAACCGACAAGGCATGGAATGTGTTCGAAAACTTCTGTTGCTTGGAGCTGATGTTCAATTTCGAAACAACGATGGGCTGGCACCTCTTTCCCTTGCTGTGCGCATGGGATCCATTGAGTCAACAAAGATTCTACTCGAACATGGAAGCTGTGCTAATTCGAGAGACAAAGATGGCAAATCCCCTCTGCATTATGCTGCCGAGGCACGGAACGTCCACAAGATTGTCAAACTTCTCATTCAATATGGGGCCGATGTGAACTCTCGGGATATGCTTGGATTCACGCCATTGCATCGAATTGTCGCCAAAGAAGAGACGTGGGAAGCAGCGGGGGAGTTGTTGAAGGCCGGGGCTGATCGATACGCCATAGCTGATGATGGAAAGTTTCCTCATGACATGGTTCCTGATGGCCCCTGGGCAGAAACGAAACGTTCTTTGATTCGTTTTTACATGTCGTGACTGGCGTCACCGCGCTCAGTCACCTCCGATATAATTCTTAAGTACTATTCATGTACCCCTTGCAGGAGGGCTGTTGAAATTGAGAATACTTAAAAGACTACAACTGTAATAGAAATACGCTATCGCTAGTCATGGCAAAGATGCGCTTGTTGCCTGAAAAATAAATTTCGGGGACCGCACATGCTCGGGAATTACATGATTTGTTGGAGCCCAGATGCTGAAAGATGAATCCAACAAAGTAATCACAGCCTACCTTTAGTTCAAGGCCAGGTGCGAAAGTTGCCCTCCTCATCCAAGTGACCTTCAAGGTAGAGCGCAATTCTACAGTTGGAAGCTGCTTCAATGGCCCTTTTCACATCACTAGCGCATTTTGCACGAGTGTCCCTGTAGAGACGCTTGACAACCTGTTCGTGTCCATTCCGAGCTGCTTGGCATAACGCCGTGTCCCCGAATTTGTCAGTAGCGGTAACATCCAGCCCATTTTCCTCCAGCAAAAGATTTATAATAGCCAAATTACCATCGTAAGCGGCCAAGGAAAGTGCAGTGTCTCCCATATAAGTTTTGAGATTGATGTCGGGGGGTGTGTTGTGTTCAAGGAGTAACCTTACAACTTCCGGGTGGCCCATCTCGGAGGCAACACAGAGAGGTGTGCTGTTCCAAAATTGCTGATTGATGTCGATGGTATCAAATTGAAGTAATCGGCGTACAACTTCCACATGGCCCTTTTTGGCGGCATGGAACAGTGGAGGGGCCTGTTGCACGTTCACTTGTATGTCTCCCCTTGCGAGGAAGAGTTCCACCATGCGTAAATTACCATTAAAAGCAGCGTAGGTCAGGGGGGACCATTCCTGGTCGTCGCGAACGTTGGGATCTAGATCCTCCTTGGCGAGAAGGACACATGCGATCGGTATGTTTCCTGTGCTCACCGCATTGTGAAGAGCTGTCCTGCCAGTTTTACCGGCCATGTTGACGTCTACAAGGTCTTCTGCGAGGATCTGTAGGGCTATAGCTGTGTGTTTTGCATCTGCAGCTAAGCAGAGTGCTGTTGCCCCATTAACATCTCGGGCGTTGATATCCACAGCACCATATGCTAAAAGAAGCCCTGTGATCGACTTATTGCCATACTCTGCTGCGATGTGGAATGCGGTGCGACCGTAACTGTCTCTTGCGTTGGAATCTATACCGCAATTGGCTAGCAGACACTTGGCTACCGACGTGCATCCATACTCTGCTGCGACGTGGAGAGCAGTGCAGGACTGTCTGTCCGTTGCATTGATGGAAACCTCTTCATAGGCGAGCAATTGTTGGACTACCTCTCTGTCACCTTTTTTCGTTGCTTGATGCAACAATCTCTGACCATCTCTATTTCTAGAATTGGGATCTGCGCCATGGGCAAGGAGTAGGGCGATGACATCATGAAGGCTTGCCTGTACAGCCTGACGGAGCAGACGGTTTCTGATAGTGACATCCTCCAGTAGGGTCTTTCTTGAATTGGAATCTGAATGAAGGAGTAACAGCCGGGCAATTCTCGGGTTCTTCCGGGCAATGGCAAGGCTGAATGGTGAAAATTGTTTGTAATCTGGCGCTCGTATATCGCTGCCCCGTTCCAGAAGGACTTGCACCAGATTCTCATCGCAGGACGCGACAGCGTACCAAATAGCAGACCGATTCTTGACGTCCGTTATATTCAGACATGGATTAAAATCCAGTAAAAGTGATGCAGTAGACAGAAGATTCCTTTCAATGGCATATACCAGTGGGCTCTGCCTGCGCTGATCTTGCCAATTGATATCCACTCTCTTGTCGACAAGAAGCGTGCGAATAATTGTCTCGTTCTTAGTGCGCATTGCATGAAAAATTGGTGTGCGAGATTTATCGTCCGTAGTGTTGGCGTCCGCTCCGTAGCCGTCCAACATCATTTTTACAAATTTCGATTTGCCTCGGCGAACTCCCCAAAATAAGGCAGAGCTGCGTTGGTGTCGGACGTTGAACGTGTACAGATAGTCAAGGAAAAGGTCATTCGCTGCATGATTGAGACAAGCCAGCGCAAACAAATCTCTGGCTTGATCCAGGCTCTCCGCTATGCAAAGAAGCATTTCAACGGGAAGATCGAGGAGAAACATCTATGCGTTACATAGTATTAGCTCATACACCAAGTCGTGTAGTAAATAGTGGAGGCGGGCATACTCACATTGAAATGTTGGGGTTAAGAGGAGCTGATTAAGGCTTGGTTCGTGTGGAATTGGCCTTGTGGGTGATTTGAATAGAAAGCTGAGAGATGGAAGAGAATGCTCGACTGTCTCATATATGTTATAAGATATATCTTGCGGCAATCTGTCTGAGCTCGGAATGCAGGATAACTTGTTGTACGCTTTTACGGTAGGAAATTGATAGGTCGGAATCAGGAGCGATTTAAGCTCCCGGGAGGCAGGATCTACCATATAAGTATTCTTCTCACAATCAAATGTGGTGGATCTCGGGTGGAAAGAAATATTCTTAGTCGTCAATAGATGGCAATGCTCTAGACTTCCCGGCGTACGGCCTGGTCATTAATGCGAGGAGCTGCTACCTCCTGGAGCAGCCGATCGGGCTCCCAGGAGGAATGGTCTTGTATGTGATGGTCTCACGGATACAGAGGTTGATAGGGTCGCGGATCAGCAATCAACATCAAGGACAACTATATCTGACGCTAGACAAGTCGTGGCTCAAGGAAGCAATAGAGAGAAGCTTCCTCGCGTTTAGGGAGACACATATGTGGAACAAAACTGGGGGCGCACCGAGTCATAGCCACGGTTAGCAGCAATGTGAGGTGCAGGACTATTCAGGTGTCCCACCAACATCGTATGCACCCATGTGGGTCCCGCGCAGACCACATCTCCGTCCGTATGCTTCGTAGGGCTAGGGGCTCCTTGAGAGCTGCTTCTTGGCTCCCACAAACGTTTTAGAGGCTCCCAGGAGCAAGAGAACTCCCAGGGCCCAGAGATTAGTTCCTAGTACGGATGGAACCGTCTGCAGGAGCGTGAACAGTTCCTTGATAGTGATGATGAAGATGTGCATCTTTGTATCTGGATACTGCGAGTGAGTATCTATTCGCTATTCATACGGACAGCGACAGAAAATACGCGCATAAAACTGGTATCATTAATCAGGCCTAATAAGTATGGTTTCCCGCTTACTTCTGGAGGCAGTAATGGGACTGCCTCTGTCTGGGCACGAATTGGAGGCGAGAGACCGAGATAAAAAACACTTGCTGGTCCTATCCATAGCGAACGACCGAGCACGTGAAAGCAAAAAAAGTCTTGACACGGAATGCTTTTTTAAGGGAAGAAATGGTATCTCCTACTAATTCATGTCAGCATAATAGTGAATCAATACAGCATTTGTGGCCTATAGGAAGCGTTATCGGGGCCGCGTCTCGTTCCCCGAAAATCGGCAAGTCGTGTTTGCTTCCGGGAAATAGTTTTGCCGGGAGCGGGATCAGCTGACATCAGCCAAGTGGAGACAGCCCATCGACGCCTGTCGCAGGATATCACTCTTCTTTACTACACATCAATGGCTGACCCCAGCTTCCCAGATTACAGAACTCTTTATCTGCAGGCGGAAGAGAGACGGTGTCAGGAAGCAGAAGGGAGGCGGCAGGAAGCAGAAGGGAGGCGGCAGGAAGCAGAAGGAAGGCGACAGGAAGCAGAAAGAAGGCGGCAGGCGGAAGAGCGCGAGAAGCGAGAAGCAGAAGGAAGACGGCAGGCAGAAGAGCACAATCGACCGACCACTTTCACGGAGCTCATTCAGCACTGCCATGTCCTTCTCTCCCGATCGCTGAGAATTGATTCACCATCCCGCTCAACAACTGGGAAAATACCTCTTCCCACCGGAAAATACTGCCCGACTCGATTGGAACATTGGACCGACTGCCCAGAACAGCTCTCAGAGGTCTACAGGTCCGTCTGTCAATATCTTCAGCCCGAGCCGGGAGAGGCACCACGTCTATTCTCGTCTCTGGCCGAAATAGAAGGGCTCGGTCGTCGATTTGCTCGCAAGCCACTTAGTAGCGAGCAAGAACTTGAGGCCTACGAGCGGTTTGGCGTGGAGGAACATGTCCACGATATAATCATCGAGCTGTGCAAACTGCCAGCTGCTCGTGAGGAGTTCGGGCTCGGTGATGGAATCCAGTTCAGCAATCATACGAATTCCTTGAACGAGAACGAACCCGTTGAAGCTGACGCAAGCCAATTGCCGAGCACAAGTCACCCACGACCTGACCAGTTTTGCATAAATCGTGTCGACGGTAACTCGACCACCGTCCTGACGACGGTCGAGTACAAGCCACCTCACAAGTTGTCTGTTGCAACCTTTCGTATGGGACTTCGACCAATGGACCTATGGAATGATATGGTCAGATTTAATAAAATCCCTACCGACCAGGAAGCAAAGTTGAAGCACAGTGCAGAGCGCCTCGTCTGCTCCGCCATTGTGCAAGAGTACCATGTGATGATTCAGGAAGGACTCGAATATTCATATGTGACAAATGGGCTTACCCGTGTTCTCCTCCGTGTTCCGCGTGACCAGCCTAGCACGGTCTATTACTTTTTCTGTGATCCTCACAGCGAAGTAAACCCGGAAAGCGATACGGTTGTCCAGCTATGGAAGTCGTCTGTTGCGAGGGTGTTGTGTCTTTGTTTGATGGCATTTCGCTCACCCATCCGTGAGCAAGAATGGAGAAATCGCGTGCGCCCAAATCTTCACAAATGGAAGACAAACTTCGATCACACGCGTTCGCAGATTCCGAGAAGCGAGCTACAGCAAATCTCCCACTCCGATAGCACGAACCCTGATTTTCCAAGTCCGGAGTCTGGTACATCCTATGGACTACCATCGTCGTCTCCGCTGCCGTCTCCCTCGGAGGGCCGTCGAGTGCATACACGATCTCAAACCACTTGTGCACCCTCAGAGATTCGACCGCGCTCGCA